TATCGATGTGATGTGATATATATGTATGTACTATATGGAAGGGAATCGTAGAGTATAATCTGTACTAAGATATGTACGATTGATCGCTAGTATCCTAGTTGGTAACTATTTTTAGCTTACTTTAGAATTTATGATTCATAGTAGAGAGACCATCAACTGTTCTGTGAAGCACATAAAATGGTGGTGTAGTCGAGAATACTTTAGTTTTGTTTTGCTGCAGTTCATGGGTCTATTGAAATCGTGGATTAACTACTTAGAAGTTGATTGTTGAGATAAAGTAATTATTGAATCAGAAGTCGTAAGTTTCTCAGTAAGCTGTAATAATATCTTCTTTTAAGTAGCGTAAAGTATTTTAAGATAGACGATGATAGAAGGTATAAAGGATTTTATTGAGATACAAGTTACAGGCTAACAATGATATGGTTGTTATAGATAAGGTATTTGAGATAGCAGGAACGTAGGAACTGACTAACGAGTTAGCGTACAAGGGTATTTATAGGTTTTAGATGGGATTGAGATAATGTCTTTATATGTATAGCATGTCGTCTATATGTGGTCATGATGTCGTACATTATGAATGTAATACAATACAGTACTTAAACGGCTTATGATAAGTATTCGTATATTAGGATATTACTATACTAGGCGTCTTCTATATAAGATCATAATGTTACAAGCGTTATAGATATTGTCGGTTATAAGCTTTAAAATATGTTTAGAATTTAGCCACATTGTTATACCTATTTTTTGCAAAACTCACTGATTACTGTGAGTGGCTTGATAGATAAAATATAGTAAATAAATCAGTTTTATCCCCTAATCTCCGCCTTATTTCAAAGTCCAATCATAAAGCAATTTAGTAACACTAAATTTTTATATATTTTCATCGAACTCTTTCGTTTATTTGTTTTATGACTATATTAAACTAACTTGAGAGAAGCTCCTACGCTCAATTGAATCAAATTTTACCGGGTATACTAAAAATAGATTCAATAGCGGGTTTTGTATAAGGCTAACTATATTTATTTTACTACTGCAAGTATGATTCTTGATATTTGTAACCTGGTATGCTCTAGATATTTCTTACAGGTAATCCCATCCACCCCGCCCTTGAAACGAACAGCGCGGGGGTATTTATACTACTGTTAGATGACTTTGATTATACATGGTATAAAGTTACTGAACCTCTGGCAGGTCTATGACAAATGATAATACAGTACTATCTGCTAAATGAGCGTATTATCGTAAACCGTCAGCAAAGCGATGGGAGTTTGTACTAGTTTATTTTAAAATAAGAGTGTCGTTGGCAAGTATCGTTATGAGAATATTTTATCCAGCTACAAGTATGAAAGCCAACCTGATTACTGTGGACTATGAAGGTGCCCAAAGATGGCTACTATAGGATGGCAAAGAGTTCAATGCCAACTTGTGGTTATTTATCTAACATGAGGTGTACATATTTGAAAGAATGAGACTATGAGTATAAATTAAACTCATTAGCGTAGTATCGTGTAAGCTTTGAAAACGATAAATAAACCACCAAGACTTGATTTAAGCTAAAATGATGTAATCATTTATGCTTGCATGCACTACTAACAAGTCATGAAATACGAGTACTTTCGAGGTTTTCTACGATTAGCAAAATAAAATGGCGTACTACTGTTTGGCAAACTAATGATGTTTAGATGTATCATAGATAAGCACAACTTGTCATGTAGACCATCCAATTGGAAATTCAATTCTATTGGCAAGAATTTTAAAATAGTCTGATGATCCTTTGACGTCACTAGTACAAACTCCCGTCACTTTGCTGACGGTTTACGATAATGTGCTCATTTAACAGATAGTACTGTATTACCATTTGATAGACCTGTCAGAGGTTCAGTAACTTTATACCGTGTTCTGTATGCTGTAGAAATGTACCTAAACTTGACGAGCTGAAATGAATCAAATTAGTGCATATTATCTCTCAATTTAAATTTGTTTAAATAATATTGTCGCTATCGTCATATCTTAACCTGTTATGCCATTGTCATGAGATATATTGCTATAGAGTAATCCGTATGAAGAAAAGCGGCAGGGGTAGATATTATTAATGCTAGAGGTTTAGTTTATCCTGTATCATAATACTTACGTTATCAAATTAATTTTACCTTGCTGTAAATATAGAAATTGTTGTTAAAGTGATTAAAGCTAATATCTACCCCTAATCGAAGCTACTATTAGTGAGAAATTGAATCATTTATTTCTATGTAAATGGCAAAGTATTAAGATACTATGAATCGTATACAATTCGAATTGACTGAGATAGTGGAATAAAATATGTAAAAATTGGCCAAACATTAGCATCAACGTTCCCTTAATTGATTGGTGCCTCGTATATTGACAGAATGAACGTAATCTCTACCCTAAGGGTGCTTTTAAAAGATGTTTACGTACTTGAGAGAATTTGATTCCTATTACGTAACGATGACTTCCAAGGTTGTAAATAAATAGGTAGATTCTAAGCTTGAAATAAACAAATAAATTCGTCCCCAGATCGATTTCTAGGAATCGTTTCATTGACGATCCGTAAGATCCATCCTAATGCAAGCATGAGATATTCTATCGCGAAGAAAATTGATAAACTGTGAAATAACAAGGTCGATTGACGGAATTTCCGATAGTTTCATTGATTACGTTAGTAGAAGGCGAAGAATAGCTTACGAAATTTGGCAATTACCCAATTTACTTCTCTGTGAGAAAAGAATCCGTCAATATATACGATAGTGTATAAGAAATACAAATTTCGCCATTGCATTGCGTTATTATCAATAAAGGTAAATTCGATTTTCAGTATTACTAGTAGGAGAATTTTTAATAACTTGAAGTAGTATAACAGTTACTCAAAAATGTATCGATTTTCCTCGTATAGTTGCTAAAATACTTAGCTGTTGTGCTAATATTTTTCACGGAATTATCGGTAGATTAGATACGTAACTCACAATTGAACACAGTTATGATTCTCATTATGTAAACTTAGGTTAGAGATTTAATTTTGATACATAAAATTCTAACCTAGGTTTACTCAGCAAGCTACCGAAGTACGGTAAGAATATCTTAGGAATCGATATGGGTAACGACATAAATAAGTTTGACAAAATTGGTTCAGAAAATTTAGATCCTCTATACCAATTTGCTGATCACAAATATAAGGGTGGAGACTTACGAATGGCGAAATACTATTATAAATTGATCGTTGAGCAAATACGGGCTAAAAATAGTATAAAAAACGGATCAGAAGAACTTTTAACTAAGACTTATTATTCGTTATCCAAAATTTATTTACAAGAAAAGAAACTCTCTGTAGCGGAAAAATATAATCGAAAAGCGGAAGCATACGCTCTAAAATTGGAAGATCAAGCTCGAGTGGCCGAAATTTTAGATATGCGAAGTGACATTAGAAGGCTTGAAGGCAAATATATTCAAGCCATTGATGATTTGAAGAAATCACTCTCCTTGAAATTTCAACTAGTAGGAACCAATGATAGATCGACCAGTTACAGCTATCATAAATTGGGAAAAGTTTATTATTCGCAATCGAAATATGAAGTCGCTTTGTCGTTCTACCGTAAAGCTTTGGATACTAGGAAAAATTCATTAGAAGAGAATAATGTAGAATTATATCAAGACATGGGATTTGCTTATTCACGTTTATCGAGATTCAATGATGCTGAAGAAGTGTATAAGGAGGCATTAAATATTAAATTAACCTTGCCTGCATATAACGACACGAGTATTGCTAATTCATATTGGTGCTTGGCCGTCATTTACTATCGCCAATCAAAATATGAAATAGCTCTAACAATGAATCGAACTGTTTTAGAATTGAGGATAAAAAGTCTTGGTGAAAGTCATCCTAGTGTTGCTAAATCGTACTATCATCTTGGGCTTACTTATTCTAAACTAAGCAAGTATAACGAAGCCTTGGATATGCATAAGAATGCTTTACACCTTCGGTTACATATTGGGAAAGAAAATCAAGTGGATGTTGCCTTGTCCTATGAGAAATTAGGCGTTAACTATGATCACCTCTGTCGATATTCAGATGCAATCTCAGCTTTTGAAAAGGGCTTGAACATTTTGCAAAAACTATATGGAAATCAGCACATAAAAGTAGCCACCAGCTATAATAGTCTTGGAATAGTCTATTGCCGTCTAGGACAATATGGCAAGGCACAAGATATGTATCATAAGGCCATGCATATTTTAATTAATCTAGGTGGAGGAAACTACGCTCAGATAGCTACCATATGCAATAATATGGGTAAAATTTTCAATGGCCAGCATAAACAGGATTGCTATTTTCATTTTAATGACACAAATAGTATTCTGCTTGAAAGTCATAAGAGCAATGTTGTAGATCAACGGCCGAAATCCTATCCAATTGAAATAAAATCTAAAAGTTACGGTAAGTCTAAATTAAATCGTTTGGATGTTTCTTAGTCCTATTGTTTGTTGATTCAATGTTATATTTATATTATAATCAATACTAAAGATTAGTGCTGATATTTTAACACTAGAAAGTACAGTCGAATATTGTACGATGGAATCAGAATTTCACGAAGATGAAGAATCATGTATGTGAGGGCTTTAAAGCTAAGCCAGCTATGCTTATATTTTGAGATATTCTAATTATCATTTACGTTTGCACATTTTTATGGATAGTTAAGGTATTTCTTAGCACCAGATTAAGCAATAATATAGAAATTATTTGCAATATTATTATTTTAGCATTTGATACCTACAAAAAGATGCAAGGAGTTAGTAGCGTGGGAAGTCTAGATCCCGATACTGGAGAGCATAGAGGTAATATAGAAATTTCATAATATAAAGTTTGTTACGTTTACTTTAGTGTAAGAAATAATTATCGTAGCAAATGAAATTTAAAATTTAATTCGTTTCAAATGATACTGTAAGAGTTTTAAAATAGATTGCTGAACAATGTATTTAACCTTGTTTATTTGCTAGCCAGCAGAATGTAAAGTTCATTAACTAAATACATGGCTTGCTGTTAACAGTAGTTAATGTTTGAGTAAAGGGCTATCGAACTAACTCACTATCATAATAGATCAGGGCTAATATGCGCGTATATATATAATCTACAAGTATATATCATGGCTAACTTACTATCATAATATTTTCAAGTAGAAGAGATATTACTGAAGTACTATTAAGCTGTTACGTAGATTATTAGTGTAAGAAATAATCACCTTAGTAAGTGAAAATTGAAAGTCCAATTGGTCCTAAAAGATGCAATACGTGCATATCAATGGATCGCTTAATGATATACTGATCTTGTTTATTTGCTGTCTTGATAGCTGCAGAATGTAAATTTTATTAAGACACAGTACATCATTTTCTTAATACTTCACTTCATCTTTTTCTATTCATAGGAATTCATATTCAAGAAAAGGACTATTTTCAAGCTTACGTCAAGGCGTTAAGGGAAGGCGAATGTCGAAGTAGTTTTATACGAATTATGATTTTTGGCCCTCCCAATGTTGGTAAATCGTCTATTATGAAAGTATTTACAGAACAGGGACTTATTCACCATGCAAGCAGGACCAAAATTGCAGAAAATACCAATAAAATGGTCAATCAAATATTTTATAATATCTGTGATAAAACCGTATGTAATTATCGTAATATACTGGATAAAAAAATTCTCGACACTGTGGAAAAGATCGATCAGCAAAATCTCATGACAAATCATGATGGCTATTTCAAGGATAGTCAAGTATTCGATCACTTACCATCATGGTCCTCATCGAATGAGGAAATGGAATCACCGATCGCAATAAATAAAATGCAACATCATTTAGGTTTAAAATCATCTGTAACCGACAGTAAACAACCTTTAGAAGAGATGCTTCATTTAAATAGTCAATGTAACCCATTAGATAAAAGTATAGATAGCTTAGAAGAATCTGGTTTCCATTCACAATCGACAGATAGTTCTCCTATGGCAAATAATTTCTTACAGATTTACAAAGAATTCTATCAGCGCCGTTTGCAGATAGCTGATTTGGCGGATACTGAAGACTGCCAATATGGGAAATTGTGGGATTTTGGTGGCCATTCTATCTATCACGTTACTTATCAACCTTTCATGTCAGCTAACAGTATCTATATTCTTGTTTTTAACATTACTCAAGATATCAACGATAAAATAGTGAAAAGAGATGGCTTGATTAGCGATATGACCTATTTACAAGCTGTACAGGAATGGTTAACTTCTATTATTGGCATAAATAGCAGCCGAGAAAAGATCCAAGTAAAAATCGATCAGCAAACAGAAGAATATTCCCTGCCAGTCGTTATTTTAGTTGCCTCTCATGCAGATGAGATTGAAAGAGAAGGGCAACGAATCAGAACATTTAAACGATTTGAACAGGCTCTTATTCAAATTTACCAGAGTATCGATGCAATATTTATTCTTCTCAAATTATATTTAACTGCAATCCAAAAGATAATTGCCAGTCTATAGTCAAACAACGACAAGAATGCTGTCGCCGTTTACATCATATCATTAATAAGCTTGTAACATCAATATCGTTCATGTGCAATGCAGTCCCAATTCGATGGTATGTTATGGCAAAAATTCTGCATTTAATAGCCAATAAACAATTAGAGCAAGAGGCTAGTAGTGCTAGTAGCAATGGTCTACAAAAGGGTCGAAAGATTGTAAAGGAGGAAGAAGTGCGCCAGTTGGCACGAGATTACGGGCTGTATAAAAATCATGAAGATTTACACTCTATGCTGCAGTACCTACATGATCTCGGCGAAATTGTCCACTGTCCTATAGGAATAGATGATGGGATTGTTGTGCTAGAAGTAGATTGGTTATTAAATATCTTTCGTGAAACTATTCATCTAGGTACATGTTTATCTAGAAATGCAGGTGTAACTTATGATTATCAGCAAGCGCCTATCACTGGTAAGATATCTAAGAGATATATTGATTATAAACTACAAGGTTTCAATTTAGATGAGCATGATAAGAAATTGGTATTGAAATTAATGGAAAAGTATGATATCATTTGTCCAATTCAATTTGATGATAGACAAAATTCATTACATCAATATTATTTTGTACCCTATTTGCTTCAGCCTGAAGTAGAATATTTTGATTTAGCAAGATATACTCTATCCGATTGGTTGTATATTGGATACGAGCACAACGATGTTCCATATATCCCAGATAGCATTTACTACTGCCTGCTTTCATCGTGCTTGAAAGAATGGAATAATTCTCAACTGGAATTACATCATCAGTGTGCTAAGTATTACTTGGAAGGTAGTTACTACTATATCATTATTAAGAAAGAAAATTCGCATATTGGCCTTCAATATTGTTATCAGAAGGAACATAACCATAAAGATCTTGGTGTCATTATGGAGACTGTAAAACAATCAATTTGCTATGAACGTCCTCAAGACTTAATAAGAAGGAAGCTAAAAGCGATAGTTAAGCAAAGATTACCTAGATTTAAGAGAGCAGACTGCCGATTTTATGTCAAATGTACCGAATGTCAACAAATTACTGGTCTAGAGCAAAGTAAAAGATTAAGTAATCCTAGTTTAGTCCATTGTATTCCATGTAAGTTGCAATTTCACACTTCATCGATTGATGATTGGATGATTTATCGGCAAGAGAACTTATTAGGTAGGTCTAATCATACTGTATATAGAAATTATAAGCAGAGGAATACCAATCTTAGGCAATTCTACTGCTTGAAAAAATAACGTTGTTATAAAGCGTCATTTTTACTCTACCACCTACAATTTGCAATGGAAATTCCCTTCAACAATTAAGACAAATTTAGTAATATCTTACTCTAGTCTTGTGCATCTAATCGTTACACAAATTATCTTAATTCCAGGTAGAGAGAAAAGCAACGAGGATCGTTATATTCATCATCGTCATGGTTAGTATTGCCATGCACCAATGATGTCAAAGTCCAGCACAAAATTGATACTTCCATTTTTTCTTTATCTTATAGATGGACTTCCTCTAAATAATCCAAAATTACTCCCTGATGATTCTGGTAAATATTTTATTGACATAGATCCTTCTTTTGGTAAATTTTTGGCTAAATTAATTTGCAAATTGGTTTTCATTGTAATAAATTTCTAATGGACAGTTAAGTCGCCTTCATTGGCATGACATAATGAATACAGACTATGCAAACATTGTCATTGAAATTCTTTACTAAGCCCGCCAAGTTGTAACGATCATTTTATCATATTGACGATAAAATTCTATTTTGTGCATTAGCTTGATTATTAAATTGATTGCTTCAATAGTATATTGATATGTATTTACGATATCGTCTCTTTTGGCATAGATCCTAGGAGATATTTTCCAGTGATTGCTAGAAGTATTGGAACAGACTGGCCTAAGCTGGCAGCTGAATTAGACCCCTATGTCGATATCGATCGTATTAAAAGCGAGAATGTATTAGTATGGGATCAAGCCTTTAAATATTTACAATCATGGTACAAAAATTGCTACCAAAATGCCTCCATCAAATTGCTGAAAAAGGCTTTAAGAAATATTAAGAGAAATGATATCGTGAACTCTGTCGGTAAGTGCTTCTCGATGTGG